CTTTTTTAAAATTTTTTTCTTGTTTCATGTTCAACCTATTTATATCTAAACAAAGTGTTCAATAGAAAAAATATAAAAGATTAAATTTTAAACAATTCCCCGAAAAATAAAATATAATATTCCTTTTACTTTCTTAGATAGTCTGTACTATCTACATAGGTACTGTATTTGTAACAAAAAATTAAGCGTTTAGAAAAAAAAATGTTGGTTCAGTTAAAATGAATGATAACGAATGATAACTTGACTGGACTATTTCACATAAATAACTAAGTGATAAATGCTTTATATAGTAACCAGTAACAATGGTTATGGAACAGAGACTGCCAATCAAACAATTTAAGCGTGTTCTGTATTAATCGTTGCAGCAACCCTGGAAAAATATATCTTTTCAGTTACTTTGTTATCTTATATTTTTTCATAAAAGTTAAAATTATATACGTACTGTTTTTGGTTAATCGAATAACGTTGATTGTTTATTGTCTTACGAATAAGTTGCTTCAAATTTTCGCAATTCCACTCTTTAAGACTCTGCCTGGATACTGGAAGGTTATTATCATTTTGGAGCTCTTTTACGACGTCTATGATAAAAAAAAATAAGTTATATACAACGAGATCATACTGGATATAATAATAATATTTTTTGCAATATAACATCAATTTATTTATATTTTAAAATAAAAGCAGGCGTAACTAATGAATCATATATTTTATATTCTGCAGTTGAAGAGATTTATTATTCCAATTTATTACTATAGTAGATTATGTTTCAGATTTCAAGAATAATAAACTATAGTTGAAATGAGTAATAAAGTCCCTGAATCCTTATTAAAAATTTACTTGTATATTGTGCGAATTTTTGACTGAGTTTATAACATAAACTATCAATGAAAAATAGTTGCTAATTTATTTTCATATTTAAAAACATATAGGTAACTGTTATTTCGCTGAAGGCAATCGTAAAAGCTGTTGAAAAGCGTACTTGGAACATTTACAAAGATTAATCTAACAATTGATATACAAAGGTTTTTTAGGTTGATGATTTTGAATACGACATTAGATTTTGAAAAGCAAAAATGTCAGTTATTGTAGGTAGGATGATTTTTTAAATCCATGAAATGCATTTGAAAATCGTTACCCGGGGGTTTCGGTAGTCGCATAATGGGCTTTTCACATAATAATCGTAATCAACGATTCCTAAAACCCTTTATTACTGAGTTATAATGGCAACAGTAGAAGTTTAAAAAATTCTATAGCTAAATTGGATCTGGTTTTTAAAGTTTCTTGACCTTTCATCGTTGAAATGAGAGTTTTATTTTTAAATTAAAAAACATGAGCAATCAGTTTTTTAAATTTGTTTTTCTCTATCCTTGTTTTCATTTCACCTTCTTAATAGTTTTAATAAACATTATTATATGCCAATATAAAATTTTCATTAGAACTAATAAATTTTTCTCAATAAAAAGATTTTAATGCAATTCAAGTTCAATAAATCACTTTCATTTCAAAACTGAATTATAATCGGTTTGCATCATATTATTTTAATCCAAAAGAATTCGTTTCACAATAATTAAATTTGACAATTTAAAAAAAACATATCCTCCTTTTAAAGTTACAATTGTGAAACTTAAGAGCAAATAATTTATTTGATAATTTGACGTGTGAATTTTTACATGTAAATTATAGGGAAAGTTCATGACTTTATTTATTTAAAAAGATAGGATTCACAGGGTGACATAAAATGACATTATTCATTTGTAACTGGGTCAGACCATTATATTTCGAATAAAGTCGTTGCGGCCTATTTTTGAAAAAAATTGATACTTTCAGTAATGATTTTTTATGACAATTGGGGAACGAAATAAAAAGAATTATTTTAAAATTTTTATTATTTTTCTTATAATACGAGTTTAAAGTGGAGGAGGTACGGAAATCTGTCACTTTTTTAGCATTTAGAAAATGTAATAAAAAAAATGACATAATTCTTAAAAGTGTAAAAAGAATTATTGATTCTTGTTTAGAATTAATTAATAAATTGTTTTTTCATGATTAGGATAGTATAAAAATGAAAAAAATGGATAAAATATGTTTTCAAAGTTGGTCTGTCAAATAACCTAATTTTTAGATTTTCGACAATTAATTACAAAAAATTGGAGTAATTAAATTAAAATTCAACTCACCCAGTTTGAAGTAAATAAAAAATACTTCAAAATTTTCTTGACACTTTTTCATGTTAACTTTAAATGTTCTAGAAATATTAAGTTGAAAATTCGCAATTTCTGAATTTTTGCGAACTTTGCAACTTGATATCTCCGTTAAAGAAAAATAAAAAAGTTTGGCAATTTCACAATATTTAAGTCACACTAAAATCTACACGCACCAACAGTTTCGTTTTGGTCCCGAATCTAGTTTAAGAGATAAAATTATTTAAAAATTATACTTGAATGTCAGGTTAAAACTATAGATGAACAATCGGGAAACACGGGAACAGCAACTTCAAGTAAGAAAAAAGTATAGTTTTAACCTGCCATTCAAGTAAAATTTGTAAATAATTTTAGCTCTTAAACTAGATTTGGGACCAGAACGAAACTGTTGGTGCGTGTAGATTTTGGTGTGACTTAAATATTGTGAAATTGACAAATTTTGTTATTTTTCTTTAACGGAGATATCAAGTTGCAAAGTTCGCAAAAATACACAAATTGCGAATTTTTAACTTAATATTTCTTGAATATTTAAAGAGGAAATGAAAAAGTATCAAGAAAATTTTGAAGTATTTTTTATTAACTTCAAACTGGGTGAGTTGAATTTTAATTTAATTACTCCAATTTTTTGTAATTAATTATCGAAAAATTAGGTTATTTGACAGATTAACTTTGAAAACATATTTTATCCATTATTTTCATTCCTATTGGGATCTGAAATACTGCGATACGCCATCTGGTGACGACCCCGTTGTGTCAGCCATTTTTCGTTTCATCCTTTCGTAAAATATATGTATAAGAAAGAGATAAAAAATCAAGATGGCTGACGCAACGGGGTCAGTTTTCCCATAATTCCCTATGATTTCAGATCCCTATACTATCCTAATCCTTAAAAAACAATTAATTAATTAATTCTAAACAAGAATCAATAATTCTTTTTACACTTTTAAGAATTATGTCATTTTTTTATTACATTTTCTAAATGCTAAAAAAGTGACAGATTTCCGTACCTCCTCCACTTTAAACTCGTATTATAAGAAAAATAATAAAAATTTTAACATAATTCTTTTTATTTCGTTCCCCAATTGTCATAAAGAATCATTACTGAAAGTATCAATTTTTTCAAAAATAGACCGCAACGACTTTATTCGAAATATAATGATCTGATCCAACTATTTTTCATTAACTTTGTACATATACTTCCTGAACACTCCTTTCGCCTGAAAACCCAATTGAGGCTCCGGATCTTAAAAGGGCACACGCGCGAACTCACGGGAAAAACGTTGGCCCTTGTAGGTAAAATTTTGAAATTGTTCAAAATCAAATTTCAACTACTGTTTCTTGTACAGAATTTTAATGCGCAACTTTTTTTCAAATGAAAAAATGTTCTAAAATTTACCGTTTTTTATTTATTTACAAAAAACGTAATTTTTAAGAATTAAAAATTTCAATACATTTTTATGTTCAACTCGCGATTACTTCGTTAAATGTGGATATTTTTTCACAACATTTTTACACAGTATTCTTCAAACTATTCTAAAAATGAAAGAACATTTGAAAAATTTTCAAAAAATTGTATGACCGAGTATTTTATTGTTTAAATAATTCTTCTCGAACACTGATTCTCTTACATTCAATTGAAAAAGTTGAGTGAGAAATTTTCGAATTTGGAAAACTTCCAGTGACAAAAATGTTCATTAATATGTAAGGAAGTTTTTTAGAAAATATTAGATCTTCAGTTAATGATTTGAAAAAGATACAACAATATATAGAGCGTTACGTATTTTGTGAATTGTGACGCGGCGCGTCGTGACTGGTTACATACCAATATCGTTCACTGTAAGTAAACATTTCCCATGAAAATAAGACAGACTTTTTTTATTAAAATTTATTTAATAAATTAATTAATATTATTTAATTGATTTGTTTAATTTTTTTTAAATTTAAACTTTTCGTATTGGAAATTATATTAATTATGAATTTATTAATCAAATTTTTTAAATAAATTTTTGAAAAATTATATTTTAAATTAAATTTAATTTTTTAAAAAACGGTAAATTGTTGAAAATTTTTTCATTTGAAAAAAAGTTGCGCATTAAAATTCTATACAAGAAGCAATCGGTGAAATTTGATTTTAAACAATTTCAAAATTTCACCTACAGGGGCCAACGTTTTTCCTGTGAGTTCGCGCGTGTGCCCTTTTAAGATCCGGAGCCTCATTTTGTATCTTATTTCTTTAAATAAAAAAATGTACATTGAAAATCCGTCTTTTAAAAGTTATGTGAAATGTGATGCTAAATATTCTATAAAAAAACAAATAAAAAATAAAAAGCCGTCAGAAATAAAAGTATATTGAATTATAAAAAGTAAATTATTAATTTAATTCACTGTGTTTGTATTAGAAAAATATCGAGTTGGAATGCAATAACAGAATTCCAAAGGATTAATATTCAGTTTTGTAATGAATACACATTGATTAAGAATGAATTTTTTGTACAGTACAATTTAGATTTGGGCAAAAACTGGTTTGTTCAGAAGCAAATTGCAAAATACTTGGTAATGAAAGTTGTCAAAAGTGATTTAATATCAATCAGAAATATTAATTAAGTATACTTACCTAAAATATCAAGACAATGTTTGATTGTAACAGATATGTAATCTTTCACAGAAAATTAAAAGGTATTAAAATAAGCTGCAACGCTTATTACTTTAATCCAATTTTGCTCATTTTAATACCAAAATGGATTAAAATAAGCAAAATTGGATTAAAATAATAAGCGTTGCAGCTTATTTTAATACCTTTTAATTTTCTGTGTTATCGCTAATTCCATTTGGTTTAGTACAGCCCAAAAACTTATAATTTTCAGGTTCATAATACCCTAAAATTAAGCATTTGAGACAGTCCTTTAAATTTCGGCAGTGCTTAGCCTCAAGCAATAAAGCATCGTCTATGGCAATTCCAGCGACTATACTCTGTACACAAAGAAGTTATACTGTTATATTCACCGAGAGATAAATGAAAGAACAAATTAACTTATACTACTTACAACAAGCTTTAATTTAAGTCGGTCACGAAATTCTTTAATACTTCAGGTTGAAGAGAAAAAAATATTTCAAAATTTCTAAAAACTCGTTCTTTGAAGTCTTTACCCGTACTTTTCACAAAATCTTTAATTTTTTTCTTTTACTCTTGATCGTATGGGTCTTATAGTGTAGAATTTAAGATATAATTTAAGACCTCACTGAAGACTAGCACGTCAAGTTAAAAAAATCTTGAAAACCGCCAAAGGGACCGCCCATAAGTAATATCACAGTCTGAAGGGAAGGAGGGGGGTCTTCAAAAACGTGTCACAATGTATATTTTCTGTATGAGAACATATCAAAAATAGCGTGACGGAGGTGGTAGGGGTAGAAAATCTTGAAAAATTGCAAGATATAATTTGTGAGCGCTCCCAAAATCAAGTTTTTTGGGGTTTTTACACCCACTTTCCTCAAAATCCTGACGTGCTAGGCAACTTTGAGATCCGGGATCGTGTTCAACGGACAGAAATACATTTGCACAGCACTTAAGTATCAAAAATAAAAAAGTCATGCAAATTTATGTTACATTGTTATCTAATTCAAAATAAAATTTTGCAAATAAATAACATTCGCGCATTTCAGATTATCAAGAAAATTTATATGGTTCTTTAAAAATACTGTTTATGCAAAATACTGCCGGTAGCACACCACTAGGTTTCGACGCCCGCAGAAGGCGTGCTCGAAAGCTAGTATATATATATATAATTAATTGAGGTAAGAGACAAATCAATAAAGAAAAAGAATCAAGAGAAGAGAGAATATACCTTTCTAGTGCTGTTCGAATTTCTCTGAAACTGCTGGGACTCGTTCTGGGAGCTGTTTTCAGCGATCTCCAGCAGTTTCTTCTGCCCTTCTTGAAGAGATTCTAATCTACTTAGAATTGCATTCTGTGCATCACTCGACTCCTGAACAGGTGGTGTTGCCGTTAATCCTTCGATTAACCTCTCTAATTCTTCTATTTTTATATCTTTCTCTTCCATCGTCTGTAGTGTCTCTTCTGTCTATAAATATAAGGGAAATTATTTACATTCATTTCTATATTTCCATGCAACATGAACCTCTCTTGATTTGCATGACTAAGAGAATCTATTTTCATTTACCAATTTAAAACAACGAGAATTATGTTATTCTCTAATTTCGTCATATTTTGTGTTAGACATAATTTATTTAAATTACAATATTAATAATGGAAGATAAAAAACTTTATCAGCGAATACTTTTTAAGAATAAATGGTGCTTAGATCTCATTGTACATGCTGCACATTAAATAAAAAGTGTAAAAAAATAAAAATTAACAAAATTTTGCGATATTATAGAAAACAAAATGAAAATTATGTTTCAAAGATGCAACTGAATAAAGGTTCTTTTAGACGTCCAAAGCAAGAGAGGTGTTTCATTGCACAGTATATCAATATGTATAAGTAGAAAATTAATTGAAGATTTGTTTGCAGGCATAGATTTATTAATTAACAGAGCAGCAGTTAGGGGTCGTTCATAAACTATGTTACCAATTTAGAGGGGGAGGGGGTCATACTTAGAAGTACGATTTGTAACATGAAGGGGGGGAGCTTTATAAAAGTAACGTTACTATTTTCATTTTTTATAATAAGTTAAACATATATCTTATTTATTGTGGATACAACGATAGGTGAACAAAAATATTATTACTTTTGCATAATGAATAAATATTTCTACGTCTTATGAAAACTTAAATATAATTATGTGTAGCAAAATCAAAACATTTTAAATTGTATTTTGTCTAAAAAAAATTTTAAATACCTCTTATAATAATTATAATCTATATGCTTATATACGGTTACAGCTCTAAACAACTTTTAAAATCTCAAATAACCTAATAAGAATGAATGTTTTTCTATTTTTCACCCAAAGGCAGGCTAACGTCTATTAGAGGAGGGGGGGATTAAAAATTGAAAAAATTGGTAACGTAGTTTATGGACAACCCCTTACCATAAGTCAACCATTGCTAGCAATCGTTATCACCTTCAAAAAAAACAGGGGGAGTACTAAAATTTGGTGATAAAATTTAATGATAATTCCCGTTTTTTAAGAAATTTTCGAGGTCTCAAAATTAGTACTTTACGTACAAATATGTAAGAACAAGCAAAAATAAAAGATTCGATGAACAGATCTCTATAAGTATTAAGATGTTATTTTATTTGGATTGATAAGATCTGTATTAGGTTTGCGAATTTTAACTACATACTTATTTATTTGTCCCCCAATGAGATTTACAATTTTGAAAACATGCATGCATATCAGATCTTTTCTTTTTTAGAGATATTTGTCATTTTTGGATTCCAGAGGTCGAGAAATATAAAGGTACATCAAGAAATTGAACTTGAAAATATATCGTATTACAATTATTCTGTATGGAAGCAATATTAAGTAAAAATACTGGAAATTACAAAAAATATACGGTAGTTTACAAAATATCGTTATTTTCATTTAAACAAATTTTTAAAATATTCTTTTTAATTTTGCATATTTACAATGATACGTTTAAGGCATAGAAACTCATTCTAAAATTTTAAAAGGAAGTTAAAAAAGAGTTACTTTATTACTTGTATAATTAGAAGATGATATCGATAAATTATTATTACTTGTAAATTGTAGTCTCTAGGATATGGGTTTTGAGACGTGTACAAGAACCAATGCCGCTCAGTAATCAATACATCTTTGTCATTGGAAATTTTAATTTTTCGATAACTGAAATAAGTGTACTTTAACTTAACAATTGATGAAGAAAATGTGTTTTTAGTTGTTTTATTAAAAAATTCTGTTAAACCTTCAAATTTTCTTATCTTTATGGCGAAATTAAAAAGCAATGCGTTTCTTAATTTCAAGTTAAACAATGCAAATTATGATTTATTCTTACTTGCATGCTCTTTTCTATTGTTATGAGCTTTTTTTTCTTTTCAATAGTCCGGATTTTCACCGCATGACAGTTCTTATCCTGTAAATTAAGAAGTGGTTTTTACAGCCAAGGAAATAATTTTTTTAAAAATACATGTATCATCGTAATTAAAAGTGACATACTGCAAAACTAATTTTAAAGACATGCTCTTTACTTAATTTCGAAAGTTTAAATAAGACGGGAATAAATAAAGATAAAAATTTCCAGAAGTTTTCTGTGTCAATGAATTTTTAATATCTTTTAATGGGTGATTTTGCGCCTGAAAACAATCCCCTAATGAATGTCAAAATAACCGGAAAATATTGTAAAATTTTTGTCAGGGTTGGTATGGAATTATAAATTTAAAATTGATTAATTTTCCTATCTTTCTGAAATAAAAAAACATTTTTCCCGATTTCGATTTTTTAAAATTGGTAATTGAATACCGCACTTTTGGAACTTCAATGTTTTACAAATATATTTAAACCTTACAGCTACTATTAATGAAAATAAAAGCAAAATTTTTTAAAGAAACTATTATTAGAAGTAATAATTTTGAAAAATAATTCTTTGATTCACTGCAATCTGCACATGTTTTTATAATTTGCTTTCAAAGTTTTTGAAAATATCAAATGTCTTAAACTTCGCTTTGATTACGCTATCCAATTTAGTGCCCTATTTAGAGTTGCAACAAGAATTAATTTTTTAATTTCTCTGACATTTAAAACATTTTCCTTGACAAAAAATTATAGATTATAAATAACGAATTTAAAAAAATTAATGTTATACAGTTTAAAAAACAGTTCCACATTCATTTCTTTGATATTCTACTTTATAAAATTCTGAAAAAAAATATTTTCTTTGACAATTTCCTGAATTTTGTCAATTCTGCAATTAGTTGATAATGACTAGGGTTTTGGAAACTAAATGAAATGATTTTAGTAAAACTGCTTTAACAATGTGCTGTTCAATGTCATTGTACAAAAGTGATTTACAATCAATCAGAATGAAATACTTCAATTTTTTTAATTTGCTATTTAAATAAGCCTTGAACAATGCTATGATGCTAATACATGAAAATATACTTTTGATTCCACTTCATCAGGCTTCTTGCATTTGTATTTTGTATTGTTTTCAGAAATGCACCCATTCAAGATTCAAATTCGATTGCCCAGTTGTCTCAAAATCTGAATAAGTGAAATATCACTTATTGAGATTTAAAGAATAATTACAACATAACCAAATATTTGATTTTTTAAAGAACTGCAGCTTATAAATTGAAATATACAATGCTTACTGATTCTTTTATCATGTTCTCCGCATTTTCGATATCTTCTTCTTGAAGTATTGCTTGTTCAGCATTAAGCAACCTTTTCTAAAAAGTTTTTAAAAAATGTAAAATTTTGTGCACCAGTAACCTCGGCTATTATCGTAAAAGCTAATTTTTAATTTATAAAATAGTCGTATCGAAATAATTACATTTCACACTTGATTCTCTCTAATTTGATATTTTTCCGATAGAATAATTAAAATGTTACTAGTTAATTTGCTGTTACAAATAAGAAACAACTTGTAAAGACGAAAAAATGTTTTGATAATTTGGAAAAGCTGTGAAAGTTTATTTTAAAAAACTTTAATATTTTACTTTAATATTTTTCTTTAATATACATGTCTATGGAATTAATATCTACATATCATATTTTAATGAAAAATAAAATTCTACTTGAAAATAATGTTGTTGCGGTTGATTTAAAATAACATATCATTTTGTGACTTACTCTGTTGGTACGGACATTGGATTTTAAATTTGAAGCATTCTCCTTTTCTATATCTTTAGCGGTTTTGGTTTCGGGTGAAAAAAGTTTTTTATCTTTTTTAATTCTCTTCCCTCTTCCACAATCTTCAAAATGGAAATAATAATATTTTACTTACTTACTGTTACCATAATAATATAATCATAAAAATACGTTACTTAAAATAATGTAGTTTACCTTCTTCCAAGGGCACCTTCTTTGTTGGTGTTTGATCCATTTCTTGAATGTTCATATATCCTAGATGCAAATGAAAACATTAATTAATAAATGTCAGGAGTTAGGAGTTAAAAGTGAGCACTACTCTTTTACCGAGCAGCTATCTCTATGATGGAGTGCTCTGCTGTCTCGTACCAATAACAACAATATTCTTTAAATTTCGAACAATAAATAATGCACTTAAGAAATCAATAAACTTGGAAAAAATAAGAAAGACAGACCCAAACACTCAATTACAGCATGCAAATCACATCTACACACCACAGCACATCACAAATAACAACTTATTACTCTTATGTATAAATTAGCTAGCGAAAATTAGCCATATAGTTCAAAACCATAACAAAAGAAGAAATTCTTTAAATTAAAAATTTTGTATTAACTCGTATTCCAAACAATTCATATGCGTTATTAGTAGATCGTTCCAATGTTTCTCCAAATGGTTCAGAATTGTAGTTATGAGTGAAATTGTTGTTACAATTGCAGCAATGATTTTTTTCATGATAACTTAACTTGTCATTGACAGGCAAAAATATTGTGTATAAACGAAATTACGTAAAGCATCTTTATACTATTGCGAAATAGGTAGTTAAAGAAAGAATTAACGAATGTAATATTCAACTATTTTTGACATGACTTGACCTAACCTAACCACAAAACTTTGTACGTCTATTGACACACATAACCTTAAAATGACGGCAAAACAAAGATGAAAGGAGAAATATTAAGAAGTGAACATAACCTTGAAAGTAGGTCAAAGATTATTGGTCATTAGGCCACAGATAAGGCTAGGAGTTAAACATAAATATAAAACTTTTTTTAATGTTTTTCAAATTTATATTTAGAAACGAAAATAATAATAGATCGAAGTAAGCTTATGTTGGTTTGTAAATTTTTTGAAACATTTCACAAAGTTAAACGTAATTTTAAAACTCTATTTAAATAATAATTTATTCGTACAATAAATCATCATGGGAAGGTGCAGTTGAATAAAGATTCAATTTGTTTTATCAAGAATGCGAAATTTTGTTGGCCAAGGTTTGCCCACCTCATCAGGCTAAAATTTATTAAGTAAAAACAACTTTCATATTTATAATGATAGAACTTCCAAGCGCCTATCCTTCCGGAAGGGTTTTCCAGAAGGACGCTTGGACAGGCGGCTGCGTACTGCCGGAAGGATGCGGATCCGCACATAGGCGCTATCCTTCCAGCAGGACGGCACACATCCTTCCGGAAGGATGCAATTTTTTTATAACATTATATTTTTCAAATATACATTATATTGAATTATTATATAATAAGAAATATTTATATTTCAATATTTAATTATAGTTGTACAATATATAACTCATCATAGCACGTCCAGCGTAATTGCGGCCGGTTGAAAAAGACTCACGCGAGAGGCCCTCCGAAATTACTCTATAAAATTAATATGGAAGCAGATAAACAAAAAGTAAAATATATCGTTGGAAAGGTAAAGACAGAAGCTTTCAGATTATGTAAATATCGAATTTTTAAATTTATATCCCATCGCTAGGTAGTCTTTTAAGTAAAGTTGAAAAGCGTCCTGCCGGCAGGAGCGAGCTTTGTCGTTCTGTAAATAGAAATGATGTGAATTTTTGGAAAACCTAACTTCTTTTAATTACCTAGCCTTGGGGTTTGAATTTAGAGACTTGATTCTTGCATGCGCTGAAATCTTGTCTCATTACCTTTCCAACGACATATATTTCTTTTTGTTTATCTGAATCCATATTAATTTTATAAAGCGATTTCGGAGGGACTCATCTGAGTCCTTTTCATCCTGCCGGAAGGCTCTTGGACACTCTATCAATAAAGTTCTGAAGCACCACTTTTTATAACAAATTAAAAATTATTATCATACCTAATTTGTTATAAAAACAGTGCTTCAGACCTTTATAAATATTGAAGTGTGTCTTACTTAACAACATTAACCCTGATAAGGCTGGAAAACCTTGGCCAACGAGAAGTTGCATTATTAATTAAACACATTGAATTTTTATTCAATTAATCAGGTTTTTGAACCTTTTTATGATCATTTATTTTACTAATATGCAATTAACCCTGGAAAGATTTAACTAAAACAAGTTATTAAAGAATAATATATTTCAAACTGAAACTGAAAATGAAATTAATAACTTTAAAAATGTATTTTCATTGATCGATTTTGTGACGAATTCTGAAATCGAAAAAAAAATTATTACAATAGTTTACATACACCACATTTTTACTACATCTAATAATTTAGATAGACAGAAATAGGAAAAAACAAAGTTTTTTTTCTACAAAGAAAGTTATCTAAAAACTTAGAGATTTTGTTCTCATAAAACAAAAAAGATACTCCACTTTAGTATACAGTAAAGCTAAAAATATTACAGCCAGTTTTGTTAAATTCTATATTTCTTGAATTAATAACAATTCCGAATGTTTTGAAATGAGCGACTTTAATTTTATTACCTATAGAAATTTACAAAGTGAAATTAATTTATAAGAAACGAAACGTTCCAAGCTATAATTAAAAATGTTATACAATTGTACAATTTTTTATCTAAATGCTTTGGAATGTAAACTTTGTAGATACAATAGATAGTAAATTGAAATTAGTCTATGGAACTAATTGTTCTTGCATATACAAAGCTGTTCAGGTATGACTTCAAAGTTATATCGTGTTACAATAATAAGTTACTATGAAAAATTGAAAACGTATAAATTTGACACAGTCGAACTTAAAGGCATCTCTGAAAAGTAATGTACAAGAAATCTTCGAGAGGAATCATTAGAAAAATGACAGTAATGAACTTGAAATTATATACATTTTATTGAAAGACATGCATAACAAACAATTGAAGCGCAGAGCACAAAGACATCAAAATTGCTCTCAATGAAATTTTTTTAAACTTTACTGATTGCTCTAATGAATGACCTCATACCCAAGGAAAAGAAACTTCAAAACTCCTACAAAAAATATGGTTAAACAATTACATAAACAATTTTTATAGATAAATAACAAAGTAAGAACAACTGAAGATAAAAAAAAAAAATTTTAAATTCTTTTATACCATAATAACAATGGATAGCAATTTGTTAAAAAGTTTAAACATTTTTGTATCACTACATTTTCATTATTACAATTTTAATGTTCAAAAAAATGCAGTTGACTAATTTATGAAGATATGTATACTGCTAAATACTGCTAAAAGTAACGAATGACAATGATAAAAGGTAATTTCATGTATGCAAAGATTTTGAGATTATAAAGAAGCAGCAGTAGGAAAGAAATTCTAGTGTACTCTCGAAGGTAGGGTGCGAATTGCAGTAAGTATGAATAAATGAAAAAATATGATTTTGAAAAATTGGGATCAATTTTTTTATACATATTACTAAACAATTAAACTGAAAATTCATCAAGAAAGTAAATTAATAAATTTAAATTTGCTTTTGTATCAATGTTTTAAATTAATAAATATATTTAACAAATATACACGCTAATTGTCATTAATTAACGTTTTTTTAATTTAACAATAAATTCAGATTATGTAAATCAGCATATAATCACACTTTCCTCTATTCTGAATGATGTTTTCCAACATTTTTAAACAAGGACAGACTAATTGTACACATTTTCGATATTCATACCATAAATGCAGAAAAGAAACAAAACAATTTTTCTAAGCTTCAATGGTCCTGCTGGTAATTTATCATAACATTATTTATAAAATTAATAAGCAATAGGGCAATGACATTAGTGACAGATTAGACACAAGTAAAGGAACAAATTTTATAACTTTTATAAGTAACAAACTATCATTCATGGTATTGTTAACGCTAAAAAATATGTTTTTACTTTCTTTTTTTATCAACATTGTTCTTACAATGCTCGGCATCATGACAATAAATAAGTTCCTTCACCAAGTGTGCAAAATATTCTACTAAACTATATTGAACTTGTCATTTAACTTTTAAAATATTATTTATTTATTACTTAAAATTATTTGTATTCAATATTTATTGCATATTATATTCATAATATTTTTTTGAATTTTCTATTCTTTTCTTATACTCTCTTTAAATAATTGTTTGTAAACAATGATAAATGTAAAAAATGCAAGAAATATTTTGTTTACTTCTTTATGAATCCATTATTATTTTTTAGAATATTATAATTGATTTAAATAAAACTTAATTGATTAACGAACAAAACAAGAAACATTAAAAACACATAATAATCTATAACAAATTAATGACATCTAATAAAGAGAACACAAATAAATATAACTACATTGAAAAAAACAAGGCATAACAAAAGTTTATAAATAATAACCATTCGCCATTTATTTTTGGAAACCAAATACTTGTTCAATTAAAAAGGTACTTACCTTTATTTGACTTTTACATCTGACTCATCTACTTAAATCAACTTTGGACCATTCAAATTTTGTAGTATTCATCCAGACGTCTCATATTACCAGGATATTGAATATATATTTTAGAATGTCTTTTAATTGTTTAAACTGTTTTAATTTCTTACAATTTCTTCTTGTTGAAAAGTTATTGATAAAGTGTTTTTAATTTTACCACTGTGATCTGGAGCCTCATTTATAGAACACATCAGGGATATGCCTCAATATCTCTTGTCTTAAGGGACGTTTTTCATACCATTAATCTTTGACAATTGAAAAGAAACCGAAATTTGGATTAAGAATTAATAAGTTTATTTGAATATTAAATTTTTTTAATGCAAAATTTTTTAAAATATTTTTTTAAGGCTTTTGTATGATCAAATTTACACGGAGAAAATTTGTTCCGAGAGTTTTACTGAACTTAGTTCGGTAAAATTGGGATAAAACAGCAAAACGGTAATTTTCAATAATTAGTACAGTAAAATGAATTTCATAAAACTGTAATGCAAAAGGCATAAAATATTACAACACATATATTAGTGTCTCAAGTTCAGTTCGGGAAACCGTAAAGTACTGGCAGTACATAAACTAGAACAAT